AATGGCAAGTCTTGGTGCCAACCGCTGTCCCATTGCCAACCCCTTATTTGAGCCTAGTACTTTCCGGACCATCTGAAGATTGAGCAGCTCAAGCACTCTTTTAAGAGTGCCATAAACTGCTCTACCTTAAAGCCACACATGTTTATTTCTCCTTCGTGTTGTATAAGGAGTTCGAATATGGCTTGCATTGCGAAGTCATTCGACACGTTTGTACAAAGGGCGGTAACGTCGAATGACTTCATCACGTACGCTCTGTTGGGCTGCGTAGTATGTAGACGATCCAGAAACATCTGGGTATTCGTAAGATGGGCTGGAATGTGTTCCAACAACTGGGCAAATATTAGGGCTAGAAACCACATTATGTTATCCATTGGTCCGTCTACACAGCTAATGATAGGTAATGAAGAAAAAGGCAGTAAATAAAAGAGTTAAAATTGTGATTATAACTAAGCCTCAGCTTAACTGGATTCAATGCCGATATTGGCTCCTCAGATCAATCCCGTTGACGGGTGATTGCTGATGGCAAAAAGATCGATAGAACTAACTGAGAGACATGCAAAGCGAAGGACTCGGATGGTGTAGTGGTGAAGTGCGCTGCTCCCCGGTAAGGACAACAGCGCGTGTTCGTTCCCCACTGCATACACCTGTGGTCCGGAGTTTTGCAAATATCTCAGCATTTCATTTGAGAGTTTCATTCGTAAACATCCGAAATTTAACATCGACTTCATTATTGGGCTCTTGTTGTCTAAAGAACGGCTGAGGAAATGGTGCTATTGGTAGGGCCCCCACTTGGTGCTGTTCGCACCTATTTCGCGCTTCATCTCTAGCTTTTTTGCGGAGTCTATCTTGATGTTCCTATAAACTACATGCGACCCTACGCAAGGTTATCTTAGAAATGGGTTCAGAGCGCGGCGTCAGGGAGAGTCATATCTCCTAACACGGCTAGCCTTGAGTTTCCTTGCACATTACTTATCCTACTGTGACGTGTTTGTTGTTCGTTAGCGATATTTCTGTGCGCTGTTGAAGTTGTGTTATGCGATTTACTCAACAGGTTTTCGAATTTTCTCTACAAAGTTACTTTAGCGTTAAACCTAATAGAGTTGCAAATCAACACTGACCCACCCACTATTCTTCTCCAGAGGCGGTCATCCAAATGCTGAGCACAATAGTTTTCCTTCTTTTCGCACTACTTCCACTTGGCGAACATCCGGTTTTGTTTGCTTCGTAGACAAGTGCGCAGTACTTGCAGTTCGATGTCCAGTACTCGGTGGCCATCCTCTGGCAGTCCGCATACTTCGTGTAGTCGTTTTCTTTTTATGAATTTCGGGACGGCTTGGTGTTTTATGCAGCGGCGGAGAAAGTGTATCGCCTGTCCAGCTAAGACGATCTTTTGTCTTAGTGACAGTGCTTCTTTTGCAAGTCGGAAGTATCTTGCTGGTACAACTTGTAGTAATTCCCACGTCCGACTTTCGATTAACCTCGGCATTGATTGAATAATTCTTTCCACTTTTGTTCAGCAAACACGAGGAGCTATTTTATTTCTTTATTTACGTACAAGCTGACGTTTCGGCGGATTTCGCCTTCCTCATAGAGGAGAGGTGCGAGGTGAGAGTGGTTTTGTAATGTTAAATTCAAAATAAAAAAATTAAAATACTAATTTTCCACCTGTTATTAAAGTGCTTGACATCTCCAACAAAACAGCTTTGAGCATTGTCATAAGATTTCATTACACTCTAAATGCTCGTCTGTATATATAGTTACTTCCTTTTGCACCTTTACATCATCTTGCCCTCTCCGTTTTTTTCTTTGTTTCCTATTTTCGGTTTCAGCCATTGCTTGGAAATTTTACTATTCTTTATGAATGTTGTTGAATGGTCTGGTTCACTTTCCATGGAATTCTAGGTTTTGTGGACTGGAGGGAATGAACTGATCCAAGTTATGTTCGGTAGCGATTTCTCAGCCCAGCAAGCAGGCTTACACACTTGGATACTTGAGCGGTCCATTTTCACGAGTTGTGGGAACGCCAGCACAATTTCCATTCATTTGTTTGCCTCGGAATCGTACTCCGTGATGGTGGGTGCGAGTCTCACACCAGATCAGTGAAAGGCTGCAGCTGTGAGTACAGCTGCATGAATTTGGTTACGATGAGGTCCACCTAACGCGTAGGTGGTCGCTCTAGGGAACGCTTGCATCCTTGCGAAGTTCACTTAATAGTTCTTAACGTCATGTTATTCTCATTATATAACCAGCCCATCTATGCTTCGCAATCGACATGTGTTTTCCTGTGCATAGAAGATGAGATTAAATCTAAAATCAAGACATCGCATTAGGGGAGGATGCTGGGTGTGCCGGATATATTCCAGAACACATCGTTCAAGCATTTTGTAAGTAGTAGGTACTATTCTTGAAGTGGTTAAAGTACTAGCCTACTTCTCTTCTACATAACACAGCGGTGGGAAAACTGTTGAATCAGAAAGGTGGGAGCGGCTTTTTGGGTCCATTTGTTGGTCAGGGGATCCTTTAAGATGCCCAAAGGCGGCCCATGCTGCTTTCCTTCTTATGTTTAATTCGTCTATCACGTTGCTCTCCATGTTCATTGAACGATCGGCGTACGCACGAGGTGGTGTCTATGATCAATGAACCATCCAATTTGATATGTTCGCTTATGCACCATAGGTTTTTCATGAATTGGGTCTTCTTCTGATTTACGCGTAGTCCGATCTTTTCTCCCGCTTCGCAAATTCACTGATCACCGTCTCTGCTTTCCTGGTACTCATTGAGAAGATAGTGGTGTTTTCGGCTAAACGAAAATTCAAAAGGAATTTTCCATCGATGCGTTTCGTTTGTCTTTCTCATTCCAATCGAGTGAGTTAATTATCCAGTGTAGTGCAGCACTAAACAGCTTTGGCGATATTGTGTTGCCTTGTCGAGCCCCTTTTCCTATGGTATGGTAAGAGGTCGATGGAAAAGCTGTATTTTCGTATTTCAGTTCCGATAACTGCCGGACAGAGTTTCTATGTAGGATGGGTTCACTCCTTGATCGACGAACGCTGATTGGATTTTATCTGTTACAACATTGTCAAACGCTTTTTTATAGTCGAAAAAACTCAGGACTAGGCGCAAATGGTGGATTCGCTCCATGGAGCAAATTCCCTTTCGAAATCTTGTTTGCTTAGTTGGTTTTTCCTCGCCCAAGCTCTCCGATGTGCTGAAAAGGACAGTCTTCGTGAACAGCTTCTGCCTCTATTGAATAGTTCCTCATGCATAGACCTGCAGCTGGCATTTGTTATCAGCCGTATTATGAGTGTTGTAGTAGAGTCAACCTTCACTTTCTTTCTCCTCTCCGGAAACTCGTTACTAATAATAAAGATGTGATTTGATATTCTTGTTTGAAGCACTGAGGCAAATCTGCACAGCTTTGAAGTCCCTTGAGAAACAGTCGACGTAGTTTTCGATCAGGTTTCATTTAACATGGTATTTGCGCCTGCATAAGATTTCGTTCGGAATGTACATATTTACAGAATGTAATATCATATGCAGCTTGACTTTTCCTACGTCGTCCATGACACGAATTCATTTCCAGATTACGGCTAAATCGAATCTTCACGTTCTACTAGCTTGTTCGGCCATAATTCTTAAACGAAAATCAAAAATGAAAGCAGCTATGGAAAACTGGGCGACTGCCTAGGGACTACGTATTAGTTTGTAACATATGAAATGTTTAATTTTAAACGAAAAATTTAAGCAATCTTAACTTTTTAATGCTAAATTTTGTTAATCAAAATGAGCATCATAGGAATCAGCACATCTTTTTCCAACAATAAACTAGTTTACTTCTTCCAAACGCATAAAATTCTGGAGTTTGGAAGCGACGAATTCGCTGATTGCGTTTTTTGCATCGTCGGAGTTGGGGAAGCATTTCCCGCGCTGGGAGTTGTCGAGGTGCTTGAAGAAGCGATAATTGGTAGGTGAGAGGTCTGGTGAATATGGCAGATGAGGCAAAGTTTCGTGGTCCAACTCATTCAACTTCTGCAGGGCTGGTTCCGCAACGTGAGGCCGGGCATTGTCGTAGAGAAGGATTGGTCCTCTTCTGTTGACTACTGCTGGTCGTTCTCGTTGGAGTGTTAGGATTTACTGTGCTTTCCATCGATTTGCTGGCATTACTTCACTGCCTTGACCTTTTCGTCCGGATTCAAAAAGCTGTGATGAATCAGCTCGGTTGCAGACCACCAAACACCACAATTTCTGTAATGCTGAAATATATGCAAAACTCCGGACCACAGGTGTCTGCGATGAGGAACGAGCGCGCTATTTTCCTTTCCGGGGAGTAACGCGTTCACCACCACACTATGCAGGTCCTTCGGTTCGCCTATCTCTCAGCTAGTTCTATCGGTCTCTTACCATTAGCACTCACCCATCAACAGGAATGATCTGGGGTGCCCAAATCGCAACGAACCCAGTTAAGCTGAGGCTATAGTTATAATCACTCCTATAATCCCGTTGACGGGTGAATGCTGATGGCAAAAGATCGATAGAACTAGCTGAGAGGCAGGCGAACCGAAGGACCTGCATAGTGTGGTGGTGAACGCGTTACTCCCCGGAAAGGTCAATAGCACGTTCGTTCCCCACCGCAGACACCTGCAGTCCGGAGTTTTGCAAATATCTCAGCATTATAAAAGTTATATTTCGCAACATATCCTACTGTTAAAAAGAATAGGCAGTAAATAAAATGGTTATGACTCACCATAATCTTTTTTGATGCAATTTCGGCTTTTGGAAGTGCTGTGGGGCCTGATCGCATTCTATCCATTGAGCTGAACGTCGCCGGTTGTCGTCAGAATCCAATTCTCGTCTCACGTCACAATTCGATCAAGAAAAGAGTCGTTTTTGTTGCGCAGAATAAGAGCAGACGACACTTCAAAACGGTCATTTTTTGATTGTCGTTTAATTCGTGCGGCATCCACTGGTCGAGGTTTTTTGTCTTTCCTATGCGATTCGAGTCACTGGACTGTAAGCTCTCCAACAATTGTTCCCGTGTTTGCTTCCATTAGTGTCTTCAAGTCGTCGTCATCGTCAAGTTCATTGGGACGTTCGCGGCCTTCCTTATCTTCCAGGTCGAATTGATTCACTAACATTGCCTTAACCCCAACCATGATGAAATTCTGAGCCCCTGCCGCGGTATTATGTCCGTTCTTCCACTCGTACAAAGAAAGGACACGAATATCACGTTGATTCATACTAAAGTTAAAGCCTATGAAAATGCCAAGATAATAAATATTGAAAAAACCAATATTAAGTATAGAAAGAGCAGACTTTGTGCTTTAAAAATTTGCATTAAACATCTATAAAGTACGGAATTTTTATTCAAGTCACGGAAATTTAAATCGGTGAAAATGGACACTTAGGATGTTACAACTCAATAGAAGCCGATCCGAAGAAATGGCGGTTTGTTCTGTTTAGGGTGAGGTGGAACCAAAGCCTTACACCTACTGACCTTCACCACTACCGTTAAGCTACTCGTCCATATACAAACACACGTGCTCACATTTATATTTATATATATATCGATGTAAATAATATGCTGCAAAGTATGACTCCAAACCCATGGATTAAACGTAGTTTATGGCCGCTGGCTCTCACTTTTTTGCACATACACGGCGTTTGAGACTGTCATAGAGGATGGAGATACAAGGCTGCTGTGGGAACGAAGCATGTCGGATCCTTTGAAGCAAGATGAACTTCGGTTACTTTCCAAGTTACTTATTATTCGTCACAGGGTAACGGCGTTAATTTAAAATTTCTGATTCCTTGTTAGTGTACTCTGCGAAAAGGATGGGAACTGGCTTAGTAACGGTGACCCTCTTTATTTGTTCTGTGGTGGAAGAGCTGTCCATAACGGGAGGTCTGAGTCGGCCCGAGTGCCTCGGTCAATTGTGGAATTCACGAAGTCACCCAAAGACCGCTAATTGACAAGAACAATAAAACACCTCGAAACTCTGTGATGAGGGTTAATACATTCGCGGCAAAACTTAATCTTTGGTGTTTGTCCATTCAAACGACGCCTAATGTTCTTCAACTGCAGACTGCATTGAAATGAATGAGCACTGTCCAATGCGTCGTTGCTCAAAAATGTTTTCTTCTCAAAAGCAACAGTCTTTGTGAGATTTTGTCTGTACAGAAGACAATTATGTTCATCGCGGGAATTACGTATTTGTGTTTGTGACGCATACACATCATAGCACCCTCCTGTTCCATAGTCACCGGAGATATCTTTGCCACCTCCTTGTCAGCAACAGTCTCTTTAGCTTGTCAAGCAAACGTGTCTGAAGAGCAGTTTTTGCTGATTATTAAGTGTAAAACAGAGTTATTCTTGAACCGCATGTAACACAAGATTTCTTGTGGAAAAGCTTTCCATTGAATACGGAAGTATACTAGAGGACTTCACGCGCCAAAATCAACCACCAAAAATAAAGTGCATTGAAAATAATGCGCATTGTCGTGAATGTGTTGAGTAGTCGCTTAACGAAGAACGCACTGAAAAGTACGACTGTGGTGACATTGAGCCCCGTAACCGATGAAGAATGCTATGAAAAGTCCTACGCATTCATTTATCTCGTTGGGTTATATTTAGAAGAAGTAGAGGGGATTCTGGATTTAGACTATGGACCAAAAGGACACAACCGATATGATATGGTGGAATTCTGATTTATCATATTTATGTTGCTGTGGTAAGGGCGCATGTAACGCAATGGTTGGAGGCGCCCTGCAGTACACATGCGAACGATCCCTTCGCCCAAGGCTCACCAAGCTTTCCATTCCTCAGGGATCGGGAGATTAGTACCAGACATGTATGGGAGGATCGTTACACTAACTTCGGTTGGCCACCGCGAGTCATTGTAAAGGCCAGATATGCATTCAATCACCTCCAACGATGGTTAGTGAAGTCGAATGCATGGCGCATCCCTCAGGGATTGATCAACGTCAAGAGCTTTGTCCTTTATACTTTATATTGTTGCAGTTCAAGTAAGTGGACGTGAAAGGATGAAGGACCTCGAGGATCTGAGATTAGTGGATCTTAGCGATCCTTGACTCTGTGGCCTTGCGTGATACCAGATTGACACCGCACTGTTATAAAATGTATCGATATACCTTACAATCGCAGATTCCTAACTCGTTATAGAGAAACGAAACAACAGGACATAAAAAGTCGAAAACCGTAACTCATTTCTCAATTTTTAATGGATGGTGATCGAAAGACTAATAACTGTTTGGGAGCGTCCTGGTACCAGTCGAAATTCCAACTAAAAATTAGTCTATTCTACTCTTATTTTGGAAAGTCCAAACTACTCCAAACATCTAATATGTGCTACCGCTAATCGAAAATCTAATGATACGGTCTACAAGCTTACCTTACAGGTAATCCAACTGCTTATGTGGCTTTTTCTTTTAACGAGAAGTAAGAAATTATTGTAGGAAAATGAATGATAATTGGAGAAATACTCAAAGACTGGATAAAAGAGAGGATAATATAGGGCTATAGTCGGACGGCCTACGTAAACGGGTGGACTGGCGAGAGTTCTTATGTTGACGTGCTGGCTTTGCTGTAAGAGAGGACAAATAATAACACTCGAGCCAAAACTGACCACAAAAGAAGCTTGTGGAAGAATTTCATGTAATAAAAACTGAACAAATTCCATGGTACAAGTTTCAGTCATAGTTACTTTAGTGGTTGGTTGTCTTCAAGAAATCTTACATTCCTCCTAAAAAAATCTTGAGAAAAGAAAGAAGAAAAATTGTAAACATGAATATGCCGGATGTATAGAAAGGAAAAACATCGAAGCAACGAAAGAGGTCGTGATCGTGAAGGCGACGAAAAGGCTACCTACATTGGGGCCTACGACACCAGAAGCACAGCCAGTGATTTTTCGCATTGCAACATCGAAAGGAAATTTAAGCACTTGTAAATGAAACATAGAGCAAAAAAAACTTTGGTAAAACATGACAGAAACCGAAATATTTGGACTGGGATTAATCGCAGTTGGAGATGTTTTAAAAGTAATCTATCGGCGGTTATTAATAACCCTCCAGTCGATCGCAGCTGGCTCGACAAACTGCGCCAGTATTTTAATGATGCTGAGATAACTACCATAATGCTGAGATATTTGCAAAACACCAGACCGCAGGTGTCTGCGGTGGGGAACGAACGCGCTATTGTCCTTTCTGGGGAGTAACGCGTTCTCCACTATACTATGCGGGTCCTTCGTTTCGCCTGTCTCTCAGCTATTTCTATCGATCTTAGCCACAGCAATCACCCGTCAGCGGGATTGATCTGGGGGCCCAAATCGGCAACGAACCCAGTTTTGCAATTATCTCAGCACCATCAAAGTTATATTTCGGGATATATATCCTCCCGTTAAAAAAGTAGGCAGCAAATAATAAGTTAAGACTGCACCAGTATTGCTGATCGAAAGGTCTGAGGTTAATTTTAAAATTTGAGTTCTATTTCCTCTCGGCTCAAGTGGTCAATATATCAGCCACAATAAAAATTTTATACGAATTTTTTGCAGACTTGTCGATAAAACAAAGTATCGGCTTAAGCTTACCTCTCGACCATGAAAGAAAGGGCTTTGTTGGAAAAAGAACTCAGGTGTATGAATGTACTCTCGAACTTGATTGAAATAAAGTGAATGTACAACCACTAGGTTGCCGAAATATGAGCAAAACTCGGAACCTCAACTGGGCTCCGAGGCCACGATTACTCTATCGAAAGGCTCAAGGGCTATCCACGACACCAACAAAGGTCTTTGCTTTACCTTTCGCTCAGTCATGTTTATACTCTATCGATGCTCTAGCAATGAATGTAGTTTGTTGGATGCGCAAAATCGTTTTCGTCATAGCGAAAACATGGAGACCTTCTGGTATTAAAGATAATATCAAAAGTCTGCATACTTTCCTACCTAACAAGGAGTGAAAACTAATGTCTCGAATCAATAGCATGACTATCTTAATGTCGTTCAAGCAAAATGAGCCAACTCAGCAGTTCTGGCTTGCGATGAGAAGAAAGGAGACTGCTAGAGGCAGCTCAATGAACTCTATGAGATCAGTGCTGAAACAGGTAAATCGTCGAAGTGGCCCAATTATTATATTTAGCAGGATTGCTAGTAGCGTAGCGTGCTTAGATTAATTCTTAGCGAGGAATTGATCGGTGAATCCTAGATACGTCAACGGGGCTCGTGGGAGTCAATGGTTTAACGGGAACAGAGCTGATATAGGTGGCGCGTGTTGTAGTTTCTCAGCACGTCAATCATTCAGCAACTTGACAGTAATCTGCAGACGAACTGGAATAGGTTATGCATCTTTAGAGAGTTAGCTTGTATTTAATCCAATCGGACTTTTGGATGTGTGGATTTGACAAAAACAACGCAAGCGAGTGAAATGCGAATTAAGGAAATGAAATAGAACACATACAGTGTGCACTGGCTAAATGGTGTGACTCTTTGCGAACTCCAAATATCTAATGTTATTCAGCGAAATACAAAGAATTAGTAATATTTTTTCATGGCAGGGTATTGCCAAAAAAATTATAATAGGCAGTAAATAAAAACTTAACATTGCGATTTCCACCACAGCCTCAGCTTAACTGGGTTCGTCACCGATTTGGGCTCCCTAGATCAATTCCGCTGACGGGTGATTGTTGAGGACGCTGGTCGATAAAATTAGCTGAAAGACGGGCCAAGCTGAACCCCGCATGGTGTGGTGGTTAACGCGTTAGCCCCCGGAAAGGGAAATAGCGCGTTCGCTCCCACCGCAGACACCTGTGGTCTGGAGTTATGCAGATATCTCAGCATTATTGTGAATGCCATAATAATTCACTTTTTTGGGAAAAGCTTATTATTATCTTTGGTAGCGCGTTGATTTCAAACCGGTCTGTTCCAAGACGGAAAGATTAACTTCACTTTTTCTATGATTTGAAGAGAAATCACATCGTTGCGTTATTTTTTCTGTTCTTCTCCTTCGCTTTCCTTAATTTAAAATGCTTCTGCTCTTCCACACATCCAATGGTCAGTGTTAATAGAACACTGGCCTAGGAATAGTATTCCATTGAGGCCCATCAAGTATAGAAAGAGATAGGAAATTTAGTGAGAATTATTATAAAGGCAGTAACAACTACGTTAGTCCTACGGAAACTCTGCACAGTTTCGAAGAAAAAGAAGGTTCATACTTCAGCAGATACATA